AACAACAATGACCATAAGGACAACACTCAGAAATGAAGTACTGCAGGCCAGTAATAGTATTACTTTATAAAAGTGAGAGGAGTATACACTGTGTAGCCTGCAAGAGTATCTTCTCGTAGATTTTGAAAGTGAAAAATTCTTATCTCATTTGAACAGTTTGATTACGGTAAGTGTAATGACAAGAGATACAATTAGAAATAAAATCTCGATTTGTTTAAAATAATGAATTTACTTATTGTTACTTACATGCAAAAATTAGATATTTGCCGAGTTGGTTCAATTAAACTCGCGATGACAGTAGAAATTACCGCAATGCTAGTAATGACATATTGTGCAGCAATTAATGAATAACTTATTCGTGTATTGTGAGTATAATAATATAATGGAAATGCTACCACANAAAGTCTATCCGCGCTGTTCATCAACAAACTGAATCCATTCAAAGAAAGTGCTGTTAGAAGAAGAATGGATAGCTGAAATTCTTCAAGATCCATTTTTTTTTTATTCTTCTCTTTAAAATTCTTGTACTTGCAATATCTTTATTTAAATTTATGAAATATCAATCAAATTCTGAAAAAATAAACGAACATCCAGCACGCATTCATGATGACTTATCAATTTTCCATCAATTGAACGAAATAATCGTTTCATTGCCATTAATATCACACCAATTGCAGTGAATCCACTATTGAGGAATACAGCAGCAAGAACTATATATGCATCCCTGAAATATTATTTCCGTATGCTGTTTTGAAATAATTTAAAATGCCTTACATTTTATTTCCTGAGATTTTTCAATGTAAGCATTCATCAAACTATTTTTACAATATATTTATGACATTAACCTGAGTGTTTTGCGCATTATTATAAGTAGAAAGACGGGAATGTTGCACACTACAACCACTGGACCGACAACCAAATATCCATACGTTCGTAAAATGTAATTGATTTGTGATAGCATTTATTCTTCTTTGTTCAGGACGATGTTGACACTTTCAATTATTACTTTGTCTATAAGAGATCAATTGGAATATATGAAAAGATACAATCGAATAAATGACTCATAAATTAAATAATAGAATTGGTCCTTTTTTTTTTTAACAAACTTTTCTTTTTTTCTTTCTCAAGTGTTTGGCAAAGAAAACAAAAGAAAAATTGCTTGCAAATAAACTTTTTAGCAATTGTTTAACAAAGGAAAAGTGTAAAATAGAAGTTGAAAAATATCAGACAATTAAAATGTATAATAATTAAAAATCATGGGAAAAAGCAAACAACAGTTATTGTTTTTGAAGTAATTTATTGTGTAAAACAGAAGTTGAAAAGGAAAAGTGTAAAACAGAAATTGAAAAATATCAGGCAATTAAAAATGTATAATAATTAAGAATCATGGGAAAAAGCAAACAACAGTTATTGTTTTTGAAGTAATTTATTGTTAGTGAAATTTGAGTGAGACAAGAAATGCTTCGTGTGCACCAATATAAAAATGACCGTAAGACTGAAATGAAAAATTTTGATATCAAAAGAAGTGACTGAAGTGAAAGATAGGGTAGGAAGTGTGTTCATGACAAATATATTGTACGTATCTGCAAATTATTGATGTTAGCAATTAACCGAAATAGTATGGGAATATGAGCAATATGGCATTTATACGGCACTGATGGTCAACTGAAGGACAGAGTAGCGGTTTAGGAGAAGGAGATCTCGATAAATCATATTTCTTTTTTAATCCCGATATATCCCGGCGTCACAGTGTAATAAGCAATACGCTTATCTCTTTCTAGCAATATATTTCTATCATTTGGGCTGATATGAGATTTACGCGAAGGAGAGTAAATGAAAGAAGACGAGAAAGAAACAAAAATCAACTTTAATTTCAAAGTGAAATGTCATACTAAGCAGGAAAAGCAAATCACATCATCAATATGAAGTTATTCACCATAAAAAAACTCTCTCAACCTTTTTTGCAAATGCACAAAGGGATTGTTAATTGTCAAAGACGTTAAGAGAAAACCGATCATCCGAATAAATTGTAAAGCCATCGCTAATTATCCCTATTACAACGCTCAGCAATAAAAGTTTAAAATATTTAACTGTTATAAAGATGTTATTAGAAGAGAAGAAGGATGAAAAATATCTTACATTTCTTTCAGGTTATTTCCTTTCTTATTTCTTTCCTGAATATTCCAAAAAAGTTCATAATTAAGTTAACAAAAATTAAATTAAAAACAATCCGTCAGGAACAAAATTTTACTCCGTTAGCAATATTATAATCAGTTGATATCATTTTCTTGTCATATTTTTTCCTGTCAAAATTTTACAGTAAACAACTAAATAAAAAATTGAATAGTTAAAAAGATGCGAGGAATGCATTTTTATTCGTACAGAATCTACAAAATTTATATGCAGAAAAGCTGCTCGATTATACGAAACAGCAGTAATGATAGAACATATTCGAATGAAATTCATAAAAATTATTGCAAATCACATGAGCAAGTAATTTTTGTTTTAATAGCTCTGTTCATTGATATATAATTATTTTAATTGCACAAGAAATGGAATTTAATTGCATAAAAATGGAAGATTTGATATTCATTTACACTATAAATCAAAGAATCATATTCTCTGTTTTTCTTTTCTATCGGTTTAAGCAAATTTAAGTGAAATTTCTCGGATAACCTATTTGAAGTGTCTGTCAGATGATTACTTTCTCTTTTCTCTACATTCTTTTGATCCATTTCGCTCACATAAGTTATTTCAAAATGTTACGTACTAATTACTATTGATAATGCTGTGAAGGCAAATAAAACAATGAAGGCAAATCACTTTCATTCGGTTTAATTTACAGGTGACCATAAGAAATCTATAGTACGGCAATGAAATCATCATAAAGGATTACCCTGTTTAGCCCTGCGAAAATAATGTGACGATAAAGGACAATATTGCAATGCAATTATTACTGAGAATATACATATCATTTAATTTTATGATGAATTCGATGTCGAATTTCTAAATTTCTGAAAATTTTTGGATCTTTACGGTTGACTTACTGTTTTCAATCTTGCATTTGCGGTTAACTTTGTCAGATTGGATTATATACACGTATAGAAATATATATCCCATTGTCCATTTTCTGTCATTCCATGTTACTTTTGAAAGTTGGAAATGGTTAGGATGATAGGAAATCGTTAATTAATTATTTAATTATTTTGACTGTGCATGCTATCTATCGTCATTCATCTTTTTTTCTTTGGTCAATTTAGTTTGAATTCCCATTCTTTAAAATTCAAATATTGATTAATAAAAGTTGAAAATCTATGATGTTCTATATTTAAGTTCAAGCTGATCCTCATCCTCATGTTTAGATGAAGTTAAATCCGTATTGCTTATGAAATTAATTCTATCTTCATGCACAAATACATTGAAATGTGATATTTTTTTCGTATTTGTTTCGATTCCTATCAGTTTGATTAAAATTTTAATCTATACAGAGAAAATTAAAATTTCAATTAAATGTAAATTCATGTAAGGTGTTAATAAAGTCCAGATGAGTCGAAAACATCGGTCTTGATATGTTTCTATATTCCATATTCTCTATTTTCGTTATGCAAAGTTAAAATTGATGGTTGGAATATTTTCAATTGAAATCACTTTGTAAAGTAAATATTACAAAAAAAAATTGCATATTAAAATCATTGCTGAATTTATATTACCAAATAAACGATATTAAATTTCTTGTCAAGTAATTTTTATGATGTCAATCTTTTATATACCAAAATATGAAATTTTTAAAACTACAAATTGATCGTGCGCGTATTTCGCTAATAAAACGGTTTAACCACTTAAAGAAATTAGGAAAAAAAAATTGTATCCAATAATTCACTAGTTTTCATGCAATTATTTTTGGGTCAATTAGAAAATGGAATTTGTTTAGCGTACAAAAAATAAAAAAAATAAAAATAAAAATGAGATTTGACATTAATGGAGCCAGTTTCAATTAAATTGTCTTTACTCAAACTATTCAACTTTCCACTTTTCGTCTTACTTAGGATGGAGATTACGAACAGGCATTATATGCAGTTGTTTTGCATTAACCTAATCTTACAGTATTTTCCTATCCACTTCCAAGTAAAAGTATTTCTTTCCACTTTTTTTTTTTATTCTTCCATAATACGAAAAATCGTTTAACGAAGTTCTTAAAACAAATCGCATTTTGTAATTCTAATTTAAAACAAGAAAGCTGAAAGCTCAGCCTAGCCATCCAAACATTTCATAGCATTTAGGGGGTTAACAAAAAAATTTTCAAATATTTCGTCTTTGGTTACCACAATTGTTATGGTTGTGATGTCGCTGTGTTTCTAAGATTGATATTCTTAACGATTAAGTTATGACAATTTTTTGAGTGAATGTCGCAAATTATTTGAATATAAAAAGCTTGAAATAATTTAGGCTATTTATCACTTAAATTACCTATTACTCGTTACTTAATTATCTAAGTTACTTATTATTTGAACAGAATTTACTGTGTATAGAATATCCCGATGTATCATATCGCTGTTCTTCTGTTGCTTCATAAGTCGGTATTATCGGGGAGTTCTGAAAATGTAACGATTCATATGCTTCGAAAGAATTTTTACGATGGTAATAAGATCGTATTACCACTTTCAAAAAATGCCAGTATTCAATTGCTTAATCATTGGATTCATCAAGCCACTAGTGGCTTAATGGCTGCTTTTGCCAGCAAAAGGTTAATTTAAATTATACCCAGCATCTCCTTGAAAACTTGAATCATGTCATTTCAGAAATATTGATCAATTTTAGTTGTGTTTGGAATTCATATCAAAATTGCATTATTAGTGATTATAATTTAAAAGTATTTCAAAAATTTTTTTGAATTTAAACAATTTGATTGTTTTTGACAATTTTTAGAATGAAAACGTTTAGTTCTCAAAAGGATGCACAATTTCATTACTGTTCCAAAGAAGCAAATTCAATCGCTAAACATGCAAAATGCATTGTGGATCTGTTGATGTTGGAAAAGAAGCCACGAAGTTCATCATTTTCAAAATTTTCACAAAATCTTAAAAACTTTTTGATAAATAATAAATGTGAATAATCAACCAAGTGCATTTGTGTATTCTCAAATTTCGTTTCATGAAAAATGCAAATATGAAACAAAGACCTCTGATACTTTAAGAATTATTGTGGAGATTAAGTTCGAAGCTCATTGAAACATCTGATGTGATTAAATTCGGCTTGAAGCCAACTAGATAGTAAAAGTCAGTGAAATGATACCAATATTTTTGCAATAAATTCCTATTTGTTTTTCAGTCAAGATATATAAACTCGAAAATACAAAACGAAAATATGAAAGGCTGAAATATCTTCCCACTTCTAAAATTGAATTACGTAAACCAGATGCAAAAATTGATCGGAATCGAAAATATATGCCGAAGACTGATTATTGGATAGGCGGATTTCGCATATTTCGGCATAAACGATCAACGGAGAAAATGAAATGGAAAATTAAAAGAGTCAACAAAAATTCATATCAATTGCTAACTGATAATGACATAAAGACGACTTTTGGAATGATTATAAATGGAGTTAGAAAAATCCTTCAAAAATTGAAACGTCACAAAACTTCAAAATCGTAAGTTCAAAAAAGTCCGGAAATTATTTTTTTACCTTAGATAATTTATTAATTTTTTAATTTCTAAGCTATTCTTTGAATCTATCAAATATATTCGAATTGCAACAAAATTATTGACTTAGTTAAAGTTATTTCTAAAATATTTTGAAAGGCTTTTACAGAATCAACAAGAGATTATTCAATAGACCCTCTTCAACCAGATATATTTCAGATGGTCGGCAACATTAGCTGAAATACAATATTTAGCTATGCAAATGAAGAAACAAGAGAAATCATTGAAGATGTTTGGCATTGAAACCCAAAATAATGTTCGTTTTTCAAGTTGTTTTTATGAATAATTAGTGAAAAAAAAATATCGAAATAATGAATCATTTCAGGGTAACAATTTAAGTCATTTAAAGAATGTATTAATTAATCCAACGAAGGCGAAAATCACGAAATCACGAAATAGTCGAATGCAATTAGCTGCATCACTTTCAAAATTGCTTCGTGATGCTGCATTGCTTATAGCTTCTATGTCAAGCAAAAATATTTCCAATTTGCATAATAAAACAATTCGAATAGCATCACCCCGATTTTTTTCAATTTTCCCTGATAATTACACACAAAATACAGTACGTTTTTATCTTTTTAAAAAAAAATTTTTTCAATTATCATTTTCTTTTTTTCATATAAATTTGAAAAATTCCATTGTTCCTGAAAAGTTGGATTCACTTTACTGCAAGTTTATTCTTATCGCACTAAGTGATAACCACCGATTAGTTCATTTATGCATTTAATTTGCGCTATATATTGACTAGAAATTTGAGAATCTTGGCCAAGTGCATTCCCAAGTTTGATTCTCTTTCATTTCAATCACTGCTATCTCACTAAGTGTGTGTTTTAATTTGAATTCCAATATTGCACTTACAGAAATAGCAGCAGAAAGCCTTTCATAGAAGCGTCATTAAATTCTGTGAAAAATTTTGATTTGAAATAATTTGTAGCTATGAAATGTAGGAAAATTAGCATTTTATTTTGCATATTTATTCTTCAATCATTTCAGATGAATTTACTTTCGCCGTCAGTTTTAAGCTTGCATACTGAAGGTAAAAGTATTGAGAGCAAATTAAGTGTGCCAGAACTCCTTGATGCATTCAAATTCATGAATGAACAGGATCGAAATGAATTGCTCGAACTAATTGCTGAGGCTTCTGGACTTACTGACGCTATACAACAAATTTATGTTTGTTTACATGTCTTATATTTCAAACAAAACTTTTAATTTCCAATTGAAATTGAAATTCTAACTGAACGAAAGAGAAAATGTATTTATATCGCGCATGATCAACTCAAATATAATACATTTTAAATTCATTTGGGTCAGTTCAATTAGAGCGTAATGACTAATTCATAGCTGAACGAATAAGCGGATTAAATTCTAAATTCTAAATTCAAAAAAAACAATTCAGTTTTGAGCAATTAAGTTTCAGCATGCAAATGCTAACAAAGTTGAAATTTAAACTAAATTAAATAAATTCAAGCTGGCAAAATCACCCAAAACTAATTGAAATATATTTAAATCTTAACCAAAAAAAAAATTTAACATTTTAGAGAAAATTCGAAACAGAAAATAATGTGCGTTACGCTAAAGGTATTAATGGACAACCGCTATATTTCACAAAACAAAACGTTAGCGAATTGTACGGCGAAATAGAAAGCGATAAAGTCGATACATTTGAGAAGCTCTACAAGACACTAAGCAAAGCACAAGTTCATTTTTTGATTTAAATTCCAAATTGTCCATAAAATAAACAAAACTGAATTGAGATTTAAATTAGAGTTGAAGTAAGGCAAGATCAATTTCAATAAAATATTTCACAGCGGTGCTGCAAAAGGATATTGCAATTTGAATTACCTTTTGCACTCGTTCACTTTCTGAATACCATTTTTCACAAAAAATCCATCAAGAATACATTTACGTAATATGTACATATCACTCATTTATAGCATTTACATATTTTTAAACTTATAGTATTGTAATTTAAATAGCATTAATTTCAATTATTCAACAAGAAATTTCGAACTGTTTCTCAGTCGTTATCTGTATAGTTTCTAACATCATTTTAATCACTGTTAATGTTACGCTATTGATAATACAAATGATGTATTAGAAATTAATATTTTGTTACAGGTTGGAGAAATGAATGTTAGCGGCTATGCAATATTAACTAAAAGGCAATTAAAACTTATTTATGGTCAACGATCACCGTATTATCACCCAATTGCCTTGAAAAAATTGTCAAAATTGTTGGAAGAAAGTGATGGATTACAGAAAGCACTTGAAAATGACTTAAAGGAATTAGCAAAATCAGAAAATTTTGGTTTACATGTAGGAGAATTACAGCGAAGACAAAAACGCTTTGGTATCTCTCTTTCACCTTTCCTGCTATCACCATCAATATTAGCACCAAACGCCTTATCACAGCCATTACTACTTTCTCCCATAATCTTATCACCTGTAATCTTGAGTCCAGCAATTCTTGGTCCATTTATCCTGAGTCCTTCGTTATTCAATCCAATAATTCTATCACCTCGAATTCTTGCTCCTTTTATCCTCAGTCCTTCCATTTTTTCTCCTTTAGTATTATCTCCTCTAGCATTACATCCGCTCATCCTTTCGCCTGGCATATTCAATCCAGTAATCCTATCTCCATTAGTTTTATCACCATTCATATTATCACCTCAAGTGGCTACTCCACTGATATTATCACCATTAATGTTAAATCCACTGTTCCTAAATCCCATGGCTTTATCACCGCTCGTTTTCAGCCCATTTATACTATCACCAATTGTTTACTCACCTCAATACTTATCTGCCCTGTTCTTTAGTCCTTACATGCTTTCACCAATAATTGAAAGCGAATTGATCAATTCCACAGTTATTATGTCACCAAGTGTTTTAAGTTAGTAATAGTGAAGTAAACCCTAAGACTTCTCTCTCGCTCTCTCCTCCTTTCTCTTTCCTATTTTTGTAAAAATTGTATGATAACATTTATTGACTTATTAATAAAACTATTCAACAAAGTACTGTTGATAAAAATATTGTACACTCCGGATGCGCATGCTTAGCATGAAATTTTTTGTGCTATCAATCTTGAAATGGCAAAGAAGAGGAAGAAAAAAGAAAGCATAAACGATTTACTAAAACAGAATTGCTTTCTCCTCTTCAAAATTTTTTTAAAATAATCAAAAAAAGAAAGAAACAACAAATATAGGCATTATTTTTCAAATTACTTATGCGATCATTTTTTTTTTTTTTAGTTTTATGCTTAAATACAAAAAATCCGGTCAATTATTAAACATACGCTCAAATTACATCCATTCATTTGAATCAAATTTTCAATTTTCGGTTAAATAAAGTAAAATAGCATTTCAATTAAATAACAAATGATAATGGGAAAGCAATGATATTTCCCGACAATCAAATCGATAATTTCAGATGCGTATTTTGAGAGAACTTGATAAAAATTTAGGGAAATTTTTAAATTTTATTTAAATATTATCGATCATTAATTCCATTTATGCAATACAAATGCTCGAACATAAAAATTAACGTTTCCTTGGCTGTTTCTTTCTCTAGCACTGAAATGCTTTTAATGACTGTATCAATGTTTCTAACTGCATCGTACTACTACTTCTCACAATTTCCATTAGTCTCTAATCCTCTCTTAATCTAATCCTATATCAACTCTCCTACTACACTCTATTAAATTATTCATTTCTGTTCTCATTCTCCACAACAACATTATTTCACAATGTTCATTCGACTCTGTCCCTCTCTTGGAATCGTACTATTTCTAGAGATATTGAACATTGTTTGTATGCAACAATTTATGAAATGTAAATTCCTAGGTTATGTTTTGAAAATTTTTTGATTGATTGGAATAAAGTATGAACGGTTTCATTTATGCCGCATCTTTAATCACTTTCGCAATTCGTGGTGCTTCTCCTATGGTCGAGAATTTGTTGATTTCTAGGTTTTTAATTAATTCATCGTTTTTACTTCATTATTTCTCAGGTTGACCTCCACTTCAGCATAAATAATAGCTTTTGTTATTGATAGTAGCTCAGAACCAGTCATTATATATCACAGTAATTCAGGAATCCATAATCATAGATCATACTTATCAATTAAATTATGGCAATTTTGTTGCAATAATTTGGTTAGATTGTGAGTAATGATTTTTTAACGGCTATAATGGAAACAAGATAGTTCTGATAAATTTTTATGGATATGCTCAAATTAATTATGTAGTATTCATGTTTTCATATGACATCGAAATTTTATAAGCGTTTTCTTCGATTGGCTTCACGTTGGCCACAACATCCCGAAACTTTGCAACCAGCCAATCGAGATGCATCGGTATTCCTGAGGAATGAAATAGAACGGATATTTCGAAAGGAACAGAATATATTCCAGAATGAACTTTGCGAGAAACGGTTTGAAAGTATGTTTTTCAATTTAAGTTATTAAGAGATAGTTATTATGCTTTATACCTAGAAAGTGTTTATACTTAAAAAGATATGCGAAATTATTTTGGAAAAGATAAATTTAAAAATTATGAAATTTCATTGAAATTACATACCGTCTTCTAACTGAGATCACTAATGGAGTAGAAAATGTCGACATTATTAGTACTTAAACTTAGCGTGTTATAGTTTCTGAAAGCACTAAGCGCTATGAAAACGATACACATCTGAATGCACTATATTTATCTCCTGCTCATCTGATTACTAGGACTTGTTCTGTTGTATTTTTTTTTTAAATCATGCTAAAATGATTTTAGGTTTGGAACAGCTTGTTTCAAATAGCCATTTGCGCAATTTTCCCTGCAATTACAAAGCAGGTGCTCTGGCTTTATCGCTTAAACAGTTAAGGAAAATGAATTCACCAGAAGGACGTTTCATGTTAGGCCTGGAATTAAAACCACCTGGAACAAACCTAACCAATGGAGGGATCTTTTCCAGGCTTTTTAATAAAATAAAATTAGCGGTATATCGCAAAGAACTTTTAAAGAGATCGCAGGCCGAATTCTCAGATATCGAGTCAGATATTTCAACATTACCGAAATCTAAGAAAGATTTGGTAAGATAAGTGACTGTGAATTGAAAATACTCTTCTGTAAACAAAGCATCATTGATGAGTTGATTAATCATTACCATTATTTACCATTAGTGGTAGTGGCCATTGGATAGTTAAACATTAACTTAAAAATGTTGAAATGATGGTTTACTGGCATTCTTATTTTCTTTAAGCGTTTTGTGAAATGCTATTCTGAGAATTAAAATTATTTCCAGTATTTCTTTCATGCGATTCCTAAATTTTTATTTCTAGGAAATAAAAGATTGTACTTTCTGCAAGAGTTATTCATTTCTTCCTTTCATTCGCTGTTCATTCGACCGGCAATATTTTGATTACACCTATTGACTCTTACTTTTTACATTACTCTTCGTCGTCCGTTCCTACTTAAGATAAAAATGATTTTCAAATGGATTAGAGCACCGCATGAATAAGTTTGAGCAGTTTATATTGTAACACAAGTTTAAAATTATTGATTTACGTTGTTATTTTTATAACTTTTGTTCTTGATTTCTATTACGTGTGCAATTTATATGATATATATGGGTACAGTAAAGGAGATAGGCACTATATTGGTAAGAAGTATATCGATATGTAAATTACATAGTATACTTGTATTATTATAAACTGTGCAAAATAAATTAGATTTTTAAGTTTGGTTTTCTGTGCAGTCGAGTGAAGGATATTATCACTGGTTGAGTTATAATCGATCCGCCATTTTCATTGTATTTAATGATGATTGCTTATGCAGCTTAGATGCTGTTTATTGATTGTAATAATTAATATTACTTTTTATGCATAAGTAAAGGATAATAAAACTAATTTTTCGTTATGAATTTTATTGCATTAAGATTTCTTTTTCTTTAATATTTTCCAACATTAAATCATAGCTTTTCGTTGCAATTTTTTTTTTTCATTTAAACAATGTATTTTTTCCTGGCAGGATTTCATTTCAGTTACTCAACCATTTACTAATTTCATTCATTTGGAATGATGTTGACGAAATAGAGATATTGCAGATAATCACTATGACATCAAATACGGAAGGTTAGTTTTATTTTAAAAGTTAATATATTATTTAGAAAATATTCAGTTAAAATTTCTAGGTTTGTTGGCTATCGGTGGACTTGCTAGTAATGTTTTGTCCTTACAATATCTGTTTTCTTCCATCTTTCATCCCAAAACAATATTTCGTTTTAGTTGTTGAAATACGATAATTAGTAAATATTAATTATTGGAACACTTCTGATGAATCATTAGATATAAATTAATAATGATAAGACTAATTACTAAGCATGTAAATATGACTGCATGTATTTTTTTCAAAAGAAGTTTAGCATGCTTGTCTTTATTATTCTATTATCAACTGATTAAATTTCTTGTTTAAAACCTCTTGCATTCCGTTCAACTTTTGTTTCTTTAATGTTTTTTAATTGCTGAAATTTTAGTTTTGAAATGGCAGCATTTTTTTGTTGCTGCTGGTATACCAAATATGGTTGCATTGAAGTATTCAAAATCTTTCGTTGCGCAGCGAATGCAATTCACAATGTTAGATGTTCTGGATAAATCGGTGCTTATTGAGCTCGGTATTGTAACGGTTGGTGATCAGGTGTGTTTAGTTGTTATAATGTATTCTTAAAGTCACTTTGTATTATAACGCTGAACTTTTTACAATCTTATCCGATTTGATATGCCACTTTTACTTAGTAATTTATCATATTACATCTGGCATACAGTCATATGCCAATAACCATACTTTTGTTTAAATCAAAATTTAGATACTTACAGAATTATGTATGATTTGATTTCTCCGAAAACATTTAGATTGCCATTCTGCAACATATCCGGAAGTTGAAGTCATCTCGGGATGAAAGAATGGACTACAGTCCATCAGCAATGGAATCGAACAGTGTAGCCGCCGTAAAAGGTTTCTTATTTGATGAAATAATGGTTAAGGTCTTAAAGGGAACTATTTTTGGATTGTTTGATTAAATTTCAGAAGTAATCTATCTTTTTTTACACATAATTTTTTGGAAATTTTCGACACGTAGGAATTTCAGAAAAGAAACCGACATCAGCAGCACCAGACCGTGATGACATTTATCATGTACATCTACCAAGCGGTACGACACCGAAGACGCGAGCAATTCTTCAAAAACATAGTATTCTAAAATCTGCAGGTTAATTAATAATAGCAGTAATGTAATAGTAACAACTAAACGATAATAATGTAATTACCAAGATTTGTTTTCTGCATTACATGAAACATGATTATAAAGACTGTCTGATCATTCTGCTCAATATCTTTCCTGATAAGTCATTTTCCAGCCCTGTGAAAAAAGTTGGCGTGTGAAAAAAGTTGGCGTTCGTAACCCTCAACTTTTAATTCATTTATTGTTCAAAAATTAGTGAAATTATAAGGACTATTGAGTATTTTTTGTTAGGTTTGTTGAAACGTGGTTCCACTGGAATACGACAATCAGGAAAGGATATTCTTCTATTAGCAAAGCAGAATACAGCGGATAGTAAATACAGTACTACCAATATGACAACATCGTCAGGTATGAAATAGCTTTATTTGGCTTTAAGTGAAATATTCGTTTCAGTTATGGTTTATCCTTCAATCAGATTTGCTAAAAGAAATTTTCGAGACTTCCTTCGGGGAAAAGAGACTTCCAAGAGCCGATCGGATTTACAAAATAGAAAGAAGCGAATTAAAACTTTACTGTCTTTCGAGGGGGCTGTGATAAGTTCCATTAGAATCCAAATAGAGATGTTGTTTAATTTTTGATAGTCCTTGATAGTCTAAGATGATCTATTCTGTACTTGCTTTATGGTTAACATTCATTCATCCTGGTCTTGAAGAGCAAATAATGCAATGTATTTTCATTTATACTATGTGTGAATTTTAGAGGTGTCTTCTACGACGGATGAATTTTATGATCGTTTGGGTATTAAAGGTCTTGTGTCCGATCATTTGGGTGCACGGAAACATCCTGTTGGGTAAGTGAAACAGAGATTTTAGAATTCAAGACAATATTTCAATAGGAAATTCTAATTACATATTCATATTCGATACGTTTTTTTTTTTTTTTTGTATTCTGGATAACTATTAATTAGATCTGAATTCAAGTTATAAAGATTTCACATTGCATATTATCTTTCAGGAATACTAGAGCGAATACTTCATCATCAATAAACTTATTTGAACGTGCCATCAACGAAAGTGCATCGAATCGTGTTGCGGAGCCAATATTCAGAGTTAGAATTAGCGAAATGGAGGGATGGAAGCCTCGCGACAGAATAAATGGTCCAGTAAGTACTTTGAAATTTATTTTATGATGGAAATGTTAGTTGTCTTGCAAAAACTGAATTTTTTTTTTAGAACATGAGAAATCACAATTGTGAGATATTTATATATTCATTCTTTTTTTAAGTGACATTAACTGATATCAATTAGTAAATTTTGTAACCGTGATAGCTAATGCAGCATTTATATTTGACCATCTTTCGTCAACATCAATTTTTTAGATTCGATCAAAATTCACTAGCGCAATAAGAAAACGAAGGATTCAAAGCACTGCATCCGTAAAGAATACTGCACGCTCGATTGCTATTTCGAGACAGATTGTTGGTCGGATGAGACCATCCGTCTTTCACCGCTTGGGTTGAGCCGCTGACAAGGCGTTAGTTTGTAAACATTGCTGTATATGGACCTCAAGTCCAATAGTTACCAGTTTAAATTTCTATCTAGCCATCTTTTGTCAATTAAGTCTTTTTTGCTAGTACCTTACTTCCATTTTCTGCTCGGATCTGTTTGTTTCGGCGTGTTATAAATTACACGTCGAAACAAATAGATCCGAACAGAAAGCCCTTTTTTCTAAGGAATTATAAGAGTTTGTAGAATTATTTTATTATTTTCAATTTCTATCTAATGAATAATCTCTGTAACTTTTTATAATTTTAGATTTATTATTTTTTTATTTTCAAGAAATGCTTGTTTTCTAATTTATATTTGTGATGAAATTTGTTTTACTCGAGAATAAAACTCTTGCTATCGCCTGGCTCGGATGATAAGTCGTGGTTATAACACCTTTGACATATCTGTCATTTTTCTGTTAATTTATGAATAATTTCTAAATAGCGTATTTTTTTCATAAATTTGGGTATTTGAAATTTTTGTGAAGAGATTTAAAATTGATTTTAAATTTATAAGATATCACTTAAATCATCACTGCATATATATTATGAATTTCCAGTAACATAACTTAACCTAAGTTTGATTCCAAAGACAATGGACAACAGACGTTTGGAACCTTTGGAAGCACTCGAGAAAGATTATTACTTGGATGAGCGCAATGGTTGGTATAGTGATGGTGAACAAAGAGATAGTGAAAGGTTTGTCACTGTTTCTTACTTTTTTGTCATTTTACTTGAGTGTTGATTTTCGTGAAAAATATTTCAATTCACTTTAAATTTACATAGATCACATATGAATAATGCAGTTCTCGGTCTAAGAAACATTTTAAAAGTTATTCAAATGAGATTTTCGAAAATTTTTCAAATATTTATGGGGTTAGAATGGTTTTTAGTGTATAAAAATTTTCAAAATCATCTACTATGGGCACTAGAAGTCTAACATGAATTGCGGTCTTGTTATTGAAATACTGACACTATCGTCTGGCCATGTTGTTCTATTCCTTGATCTATTTTTTCTTTGTATTCAGTAGATCGCACTGCTATTGGCTTGCTCTTATCGACCTGAATTAATGATACGGAAATTTTTTGAACTGATTATGAATTTCTACACCTGTTTTTCTCTCTACACTTCTGTTTCTTGATGTCATAGTTGTCAGAATTGACTCCTGTTTTCCTTTTTAACTTGTTTTACGTCCGTTTATCAAACCATTTAATAGCTTAATTCTATTGTCATTTTTACTATAGTTTATTACTTATTTTTGGTCAGATAGCTAATCGAATAATCTGCTCAATTGATCTCTTACTCTTGTTGCGTAAAAAACTACGAAAATATAATAGACCAAAATGAAAACGGTTAATGTGTTTGTTATATAGAAAGAGTTGGATTCGGTTTTTCTATACGAAAAATACGTAAATAATAAATAGAGAACTGACATTTTACAAATTTAAAATATACTGTATAAACTTCTTAGCAAAAGAGTGTTATACTGAAAACTTTGAATTATGCCATTCTTCATTAATCGATTACTCATATTATTATTGATAGAAATATATCATGATTTACATATTCAGTAGCATTTGTTCTTTCAAGTTCTGATGATGAATTACGCGAACAGTTACAGAAACTAACTGGCATGCAGTGCGAATCTAGAAAAAGAAAACGTAAGTCTTTTTAACTGCTTCGAGTTTGTCATATTCTGAAACAAATTGGAATTATAAATCCAATTGGTAAATGTGGGTTTATTTCAGAACACGAAAAAGTGAATGAAAGGGATAAATTTGAGTTAGATATGGACGTTGAACTGAGTGAAAATTTTGTTGCACATACATCGAGAATATTCTCTTCACTGGAAAAAGGAAATGCAGAGAATTTAGAAAGTATGATTTTATCTTTATTGCATCGTTTTAGATTTGTTGATGAAAATGATATATTATTCATTTAAAGCTTTTTCTTTTGTTGTTTATTGCAAATATTTATTGTGAGAAGTTATTGTTCCTCTATTTCTTTCTATTTTTTTGATTTTTTGCTTCTCATCAAATTTTCGTAAATTTTAATCTATTTGGCATTATAATGTCTCTAATAGCAATTTGAAGGAAGAAATTGTAGAGTTTTACTTCACGTTTATCTAAGTAATTGGGTCAATTTTTTAAATTATGTGGTACTACCGGCTTTTTCATATTTCGCTTCATTTAATATTTAATTCATTTTGCTGTAGTTTTCTGATATCTGCTTTTAAGAAATTATCAAATGACAGAAATAGTATTAACTTCAGTTGGCAACGAGAATGAAATGGATGCAGAAAGTAGTGGCAGCAAAACTGTGCATAATGAAGCCAAGGCAAAGAGCAATGATTATTCCAGTAAATTTTCATTTCTGAATAATATTGGATCATATCTTCGTGACTAACTAATATAATGTTAAACTTATTTGAGAAATTTTATTGTAGCGAAAAATTTTAGATGTTATCTCATCAACAAGTAACAAGAATTCATCAGATAAATCCGTGAAATCGGTTAGTGAATCAAGAACTTATTATTTATATATTCACTTTTTAATTACTTGAAATTTTTGCAATTTTATTTGAATTGATCTAATTCAAACAGTACTGGCTTTTGAAATATAAGTGTTTACCACCAAGTATTTATTATTTTAGGTAACTTTCGAAAACCAATTGAACAAATCTGAATATAGTTCAAGATGTTCCTTCAGTGATGATAGCAATTTGTTACATAAAGCATTAAACAAGGTTGCAAAGGCAGCAAAAAATGAAGCAGTTGAATTCTATGATTCGGATGAAGATGAAGACAATGAACGCTGGGTAGTTTTTGATTTTTCCAAATTTTTATGTTCAGCAGAGTTTTTAAAATTGTTTTGCTATGGGTGGACAAATGCTTTAATAAATTTAGGTACGGCATCATCGAGAACAACTGAAAATTGTGAAATCCTTGAGTAATTCTTCCAAAGAAGATAAGAGGACGAAGCAAAAAAGGAATCAAGATCATGAAACGGATGCAGTACTCTCATGTCCTGCATGTATGTCACTGTTAACAAGGGATTGTCAAAGGCATGACTTCTATCTTAATCAGTATAGGTATGATCTTCCAGAATTGTTTCTCGAGACTTAAAAAGCGTTTCGAATTATAGAAAAATATTTATATTAGACTGCTGTTTTTCTATCAGGTGGCATGGTAAATTTGATAAAGTATATTGTTTTTCATTTTATCGCCTGGAAGGCAGGTATTAAGATTCCTGCACATTAAAGAGAAGAGAAACTGACTTCTAGTATTCGCGATATTCTTGAAGGCAGAGATTGTACCAGCCTGAACGAGGTAAGTTAGCAAATGGAATAGCAGAGAAATCACTGCCGAGTGAAAAGGTGAACATATACAAGTTATGCCGTGTTGCGCTATACGAATTAATATTTTCAGGGCTGTCTTTGTGGAAAATTGTAATGTGGTGAAAAATGAAGTATTATTTTTGCCTCTATCAGGAAAAAATAAGCGGAAAGCTCGAAAAAATGCTGCAGGTTATCATTTCAATCTTTGAAAATTTTTGATTGTGTGTTCCGAAAGATACCATTTTGTTCCAACTATCGTCTGAATTTTTGAAAAATTTTTTTAGGAGTTAAACCAAATGCTATCGTTGATCCTGCCAATACTGCAATGCTTCCGAAAGAAGATTTATTTCATCCAGTCCTTTGTAGCGTTTGCGCCACAAATGTTGGAGTATGTAATTATGAGGAAGTTTTCCACTTTTTCAATGTCCTTGCTGGTTATGCTTGAAGCCTATATAATCTTTAATTACTTTTTTCACTGGCAGTTCTTTCCACTATATTTTAGACTGTTGTGATACTTACTGTTCTAAGTATTTGTGTCACTTTCACCTAATTAAAAGTCATCATATTTGATAGTGTTTTCTCTAATTTGTGTGGTATTAATTTTGTGAAATTTATTAAAGTTTTTTTTTTAATCTAGAAGTTTTTTTTTTTTTAAATCTATATTAATGCTTTATTAATGTCTTTACCCTGTTAAAGAAAAGAAGCAGTTGAATCACATTTAAAATTTCAGTATGTTACTGGTGTCTAAGAACTCCTACGAGAGTGAACAGACCGTTTACCAAGAGCCAGATGCAAATATCAGTAATAATTATGTAATTCTAAGCAAAGAATTCAAATATATTCCTTCATATTACTGAAGTGTTTTCATACATTTTTCTTTGAACTATCTCGAGTTCAAAGAAACAAAAATGGCTGTTTGTTTTTCGATGAAGCAAATCATTTTTTTTTCTTTTTTTCAATCCTGTGGAATCATCGGCTGATAGAACTTTGCTCCATGAAAAGATCTCAGTCTCTTGAAAGTGAAACATTCTTGTCTTATTTAAACAGTTTGATTACAATAGCTGTAGTGACAAAAGATACAATTAAAAATAAAATGTCTATTTATTTGAAATAATGAATTACTTGACGTTACTTACAATCTTTGCATGTAAGTAAGATTAGATATTTTTGTTGAGTTGGTTCAATTAAACTTGCAATGACGGCAGTAATTATCACATATTGTGCGGCAATTAATGAATAACTTATTCACATGTTGTGAGTTAATAATATATTGGGAATCCTATAACAGATAATTTTAAACTTGCTTTACATTAATAATCTAAATACTTGGTGACAATTTCAAGCAAGGTAAGTTTAATGGTATTGTATCGGAGCAATGTGATGTCTTGAGCATGAAAATGAAAAAAAATCTTATATAGTAATTTTCTTTGAACTAATATGTAAGTTTCAGATAAGAGATGAATGCGCAAATAATTTAGTTCATTGGAAGGATTGATTCGTGTGCTTCAGTACAAAATGACTGCAAGACTGAAATGAATAAATTT